GCGCGCGCGCCCCCGACACAGACGCTCAGCGGACCAATCGGAGAAGAGAAATGGCTTCTTCGCCCCGCCCCCCACGGTCTCTCACGCAGCGACGTACCGGTTCCCTCCCCCACCGCTCCTTTCAACCAATCAGGAGAGAGCTCCAATGGAGCGCGCGAGGTTTCCTTCCCCGCGCACCCGTTCTCACCGTTAAACGGCTGTGTCTCGCGACAATCCTAAAGTGACCTTTCCCCCCCCTCCGGAGCTCCTCGCGCGTTAGGGGCAGTGAGAGAGGCAGGTCTCGCGAGGAGGTTGGTGGGAAGAAAACGCACCTCTTTCCCCGCTTCGCGCGCACCCTGGAGTGGCTGCGCGCGCACCTGCCTCCCTAAGGAGCCGCTAATGCCACAAGGGCTCTTCCTAGCCTTCCTTAGGCCACGGAAGTAGCCTCGGCGTTCTTCTGCCTCCACCCTGATCCCACTTTCCTGTATGTGGTGGCCTTTCTGTCCCCAGCGCTGCCAGGTCTTGCAGGGAGAAGGGGCAAATTTTTAGAGCTGTCGCTTCTCCTTTAAGAAAAAAAGCCGCGTCGGCTGCCGGATGAAAGTCTCTGAAAAAATGGCGGCGGTAGAACAGAGGCGGGGTCGTGAGGGCAAGGAGGACCCGCCTCTTCGGCGCGTGCGCATGGTTAACTTGCCCAAAAGCATTCTGGGAGATGAAGTCTCATTTCTCTTAATGCTTTAGGGAAAAAGATAGGAAACCAGAGGAGAAGAGGATGCCGGGGAGTTTCTGACTGACGCACGGTGGGGAAGGTAGTTTAGTATTTACACAGACCAGGCTTACTTTTCCAGGGAGGCAGTATTTCCGGGTTAGGTGCGACGCCTGCGCAGATCTGGTGTAAATGTTCGGCCAGTTACTGGAGGATTTCTTGGGAAGGTTTTCACGACTTTTTTGCTTGGCGTTGGCGAAGCATTACTGGGGTTGTCACGTAACAGCCCTTGGTTTTGGATAGGTGGCACCTTATCTGGGACCAGCTAACGTTCATGTATGCAATATTCGTCTCGTCATCCTGCGTCTGACCCACTAAACTGAGCCCCCAAAGGTCAGGGACCGAATCTGGTTCCGTTGGGTCGCCGGGGGCGTAGCACAATTCTCACCTCTTATTTGATTGTTAATCAAAGTTTGTGGAAAGACTTGTGGAGTTGGTTTCCGGTAGACATTGTGGAGACCAAGGAGCTGGCGTCGGCTTCTTAACTTGGCTGCGGTCCTTGGCCTGGAGGGAAGTTAGCATGACTAGAGTCACCAACCCGAAGAGACTGAAGATCTCCCTCACGCTTCCCGCTCCGAAGCCACCTGCTTCTGCGGTTTTCAAATGTTTCTGCTGCACAGGAAACAGATTAGCAGCTTTGTCAGAATTTGTGGCCACTAGGGTATGCAACTAAATCGTCTTAATGCGTTAAACGAGAGTTTCCATTTGCTTATCTACACGTTGCGTTTGGTGATGACAGCGGGCCTCTTGCGTTCCTTTCTTGCCTCCGTTCGCCCATTATAATCAAGGGGCGATTTGCAGGACTAATTTCTTACCCCTGGACGATAAAGCATCCGGAGATAAAATGCTCAAAAGAAAGCGATGTAAACAAGATCTGGCATCCAATTCTAACTTTCACATGAATCATTCAGTTAAACTGCAGATAGAGTCCAATATTTGCAAGCCAAGTGTTGAAGTGCATTTTTCCTCCTAATATTTTGACTCAGTTACCACTGCAGATTAGACAAATGTTTTCTGTTTTCTATTGAGTGTTCTGCACTTTGATGGAGCTAATGGCATTTCAGTTGTGCAAACTGGCATAGTGTGGATGGGAATTTTTTCAGACTCGTTTGCAGTGAGTAGACTTTTGGAAGAGCACTGACATCCAATGGCTGCTCATAGTAATGCAGAATGGGAGGCTCCATTTAAAAAAAAAAAAAAAAAAAGCCTTAAGAGTCTCTAGGGTTTGGAGAATGATCACCTTAAAAAAAAGACCACTGAGTTGTAGAGGAAAGTTCACAGTCTTCGAAGTTAAATGTGGACTTAGTAGTAGCAAAGCTACCTATTAATTCTATTTAGGAAGTTACTATTCCTTGAATTTATTCCACCATTGGTAGAAATGGAAGTAGTATCTATTTCACAGAGCTATAATTATAGTTCTTTACACACTGGCTTCCCACAATAGGCCTTTTGTAAATGTTTTATTTCATTCAGGTGAATAAAATCAGTGGTAACAAAGAAAAGTTTTTCATCACTTTTCAGAAGACTGCTATAAAGCAGTAACTAGGGAGGAATTAAACTTAACTGAGATGTCTGTAGCTTAGCACCTGGTGTCTGAACTCTTCCAGTTTTATTCTTCATGACCCTTATAGTTGTTTGCATTTTGGACCACTGAAATAACCTGGCCTTGAGAATCCAAATGTGAGTTATGCCTCTGCTGCATTTAATGGATTTACAATCTATTCAGCAAAACAGGTAAACATAATTTCTGGATAATTAAGTAAATAAAGACAGCAAAATGAAATAATAATAAAAAAGACAGCTGGATAACTCTGATGCAAATTTTACGAAGGAGACTATGCCTCCACGGTCCCCCAGCTTCACATACACACACACAGATTCCTCGATGCACAGTTACTGTGGGATACCACAATTGAAAATATGCCATTTCCATGAATTTAAGATGAATTCAGGCACATAGTAGGTGCTCACATTTTTCGCAATTAATTTTGATTCTTAATCACCTTGGCCAGCACCACCAGAACTCCAATTTTACTACCCGCCTTTCTGTCAGTCTCATTTTTAAAACCCTGACCTACAAAAAAGGGGGGGAAAAAAAAAACCCTCACTAAATCAAAAGAGAGGAAGTGCTAAGCAAATACAGGAACCAAAAAGGTTGTAGAGGCTGCTGCACACTGTCTCATTCAGTTCCTTTGCGGTCCTCTCCTGCAGCACACGCCAAGGCGGCACCTCACAACCTCTGTGGCACGAGAGCATCTTGGGTGTGTGACAATGGAAGAGTTGGGTGAGTGAGGAGCTTCTTGGAGGAGAAACAGGGAATACAGACTTGGCTACTGTCTCCATATGTGGTGGGAAGTGCTGCTGGCTAGATGAACAGTAGTGCTGGAAGATTTTATTTTCACTTCTCTCCTGACCTCAGCTTAGACAAGAGTGAAGCATGAGGAACTATGATTGTTTGGGAGAAAATACGGGTTCTTTGTTTTCAGTGGCATAAATGGCGGAGAGTGTGATGCTAACTACAGAATAAACTCTGCGCAAACAATTTGGGATTGAATTGTGATTGAAATTGTTTTATTATGAGCATTTATCCTTTGGGGGCTACTGGAGATCACAGGGTGATCACACAAGTTGGCAACTGCAGAGATGTGATTTGGGGAGAAAAAGAAAGAAGAAGGTGTTATGAGAGGAAGACAGAAATACAAGCATGAAGGAATTCACAAAGGTTGGAGAAAGGCCAAGGTGGTTTCATTTGTTCCATGATTTAGTGTTAAATCAAGAAAACACGGCACTAAAATTCCAGTGATTTTATTGCTAAGCTATTTATTCAGAGGAATTCTGAAGGAACAGATTACTATAGCCTGCAAATATGATACCTCCTTCCATACCAAAGCAATGAAAACCAGCAGCGAAACTATTGGCCACATGGCTCAAGAGAGATCGCTGATTTCAAACTTTGGAATAATGAAAGGTTTATCATTCTTGGGACTCATTCCATATCGTTTGCCAACTTTCGTTGCTGGCTTCCTTACTAACACTGAGTCACTAACCCAATTTCCAAGCTGTATTAATTTCACAGTGTTCTGGATTTTTGTATATTTGAGGTATGTCAAAAGTGCAAACGACAACTACAAAAAACCCCCCACGCTATCTTGCATATTGTCTTCTTAAAAAATTGGAGTATAATTTAAGAGCTGGAGGAATAGAGGGAGGCAGGCAAATTACAGGAGGGAAGAGGAAAAGGTGGTGGTTGATAAATACATATCGAACTGTTTTGGTGGTAAAGCCTATATGATACTTGGGGTAGAATATATTTTGGATTTGGGATAGAATCCAAATTCTTATCTTGTATGGGGGTTCAGGAATTTCACATTTCCACTTGAGTTTCACTAGAGTCCAGCTCTGCTCTTTTATTTTAGGGATACCTAATGGCTTTCATGCAGGTAATTTAAAAAGGAGCTAATAGTTTTCAGTGACTTAAGACATTTTTACCTGTTAATTATTTTAGTGTCTGAAGCAATCCTCTCAAACTTTTTATTTTTTAAATGAGAAACTAAGAAAAGCAAAACGACTAATTCAGTGTCACTCCCAGGTGCACCTGACACCAAAACAGATTAAGCTACAAGGTATTCTCCGATTTTAGAAGTGTATTGGCTCAGACGCTCAGTATCTGATTATTTTCCACAAATCAAGTGCTACATACAGACAAGGACTAGAAATTTGAGTCTAGTACCCCTTACCACCAGTCATCTGGTATTTGTCATGCTGAAATTGGTCATCTTCAAATTACGGAATCTGGCAAAAGGCAAGATTGTTTCGGGGTGTTGGTGACATGTGCACTCAGCAAACAGGAAGAGAAAGGGCTGTTAACTCATGCCCCAGTCGGGAGAGTTTCAGTAACTTTGGCTAGTGGGTGTTTCTAAGGGTAACTTTCTACTCTTAGTGATAGGGTTTGCTTCTCTTGTAGAGAGCCTCCCCTCTCTCCTAATCTTTAACAGTCTTTTTTCTTTTGAATCCAGGAGGACCCATGACTTCTGGTTGGAGCAAAGTTTAGAAAAGAGAGAAGAAAAGGGCTATTTCTTAATAGAAAGATACAGACCAAAAATTTGAAACTCAGAATTTTGGCATTTGGTCTGGATAGTAAAGTTGTGAGGAAAGAAGTTTTTTTTTCTTTTAGAAACCTTTCATTATAGAGAATTTAAAGATATACAAAGGTAAAGAAAATAGTTTAATGAAATCTGATGTTATTTATCAACCAGCTTAAACAATCAAGTCTTGGCCAATCTTATTTCACATACTCACCCATTCCTTTCATTCTTGTATTATTTTAAAGCAATTTCAGATAGTATATAATTTTAAACTCTATAAATATTTCAGCGTAATGTCTAAAATAAATATATACTTACACAAATAAACATAATACCATTACCACATCCATAAAATCCTTAATAGTAATTCCTTAATATCATAAAATACTGTTATAACACCTAAAATGTTAACAGAAATTCCTTAATATTATCAAATATCCTTACATAAAATAAATTAATAGTAGTTACTTAATATTATTGAATATCCTGTCCATGTTTAATATTCTTGATTGTTTCTTTTTTCGTTTACTTGTTTAAGGTTCATATACTGAAATTAGTTAAAAGTCTCTAATGTCTTTTTTAATTTATTGGTTTCCCTTCCATCTCCTTTTTCCATTACAATTTATTTGTTGAAGGGTAATTCACCCTGAAGAATTTAGCTCAGTTTGCTTATCTCTGAAATGGTGCATAAAATTCAATATTTTTGTGAGATAGACGATTTTGAAAGAGCTATAGATTTTATTTGTAAAAAAAAAAATGATTAGATCTTTTCTTATGCCATGAAGAAATACTCATCCCTCCAACATCTGAAATAAATGAAAATCTGGTGTAGGTTTTTTTTTTTTTTTTTTTTCCCATGAGAATGAAGTTCATATTCCTTATCTGAGGACTTTGGAACTAGGCAGATCCTTAGAAATAATATAATCAGTACTTTGCAAACTTTTAAAAACTAACTTGTAAGAAAACCACTGGTGATCCACTAATGGGTCTCAACCCACAATTCGAAAAATACTATTGTAATTTAAGTGCTCCATTATATAGATAAGAAAACAGCTTCAGAGAAGAACATGTCATGCCCAGATGATCCAGAAAATCTGCACAAGAATGTTGAGAGTTGTTGTTGTTGTTATTGTTTTAAAGCCTACAGCACCTGGTCTTCTAAGTGGTCTCCCATCCAAGTACTAACCAGGTCTGACCCTGCTTAGCTTCCGAGATCAGATGAGATCGGGTGTATCCAGGGTTGCATGGCTGTAGACATCCACATGAGAATGGGAACTGGAATTTCTGACTTGAAGTTCGTGCAGAGGCTGGAGGTCAGATAGCCCAAGAGCTGACAGCCAGGTTGTGTGCTCAATAGTGATGTGACCTCAAACAATTTATTTGGCCCTTTCTTGATCTACAAAATGAGGACGATGATATCACCTGCCTCTAAAAATTAGGATGACTAAATTAAATATATAAACTCCTGACCACAGTGCCTGTCACGTGTTAATTTTTATTAATTATTATTAATTTCATTATATCATAAAGGTAATAGTGTAATATTTGTAAAGTCCAAGAAAATACAGGAGAAATAATCTCAACGATTTACATCACCACATCTTGCTTGATTTTGTGATTTTTTTTTTCTCAATTTCTTTTATCCCCACACCCTAAAAGACAGAATACATATACTTAGCTTTGAGAATTTTGTTAGGTGTTTGGAATATAAGAAAAAAATAATCAAGATTAAGAGTAAATGTTACTGTCCTGGTATATTTTTAAAAACTGTAATATAATTGCTTATATTTTTTTGATAAGAAAAATATGTAGGATTTACTTTTTTTTAGTTGGGGATCTTTATGGGCAGTTCACCTGAAATGAATGATAAAAATCAATATGCTGCAATAAAGGGAGTCAAATTATAGATTGAGAATATGAAATTGAATGCAACCATAGGAAACAAGAAACAGGCCATAGCGTGTGGAGGCTTAAGACACCTCCTGATAGAATAGACCACATTCTTGAAGTAAAATAAGGAGTAAGGGAAGATGTTTGAAAATAGCTTTAATGCAAGATAAGAAGGAGATGAATGGAGGCACAGTGGGGCTGTTTAAGGGGGAAATTATTCCAGAAGACTTACATATTTTAAATCATGATACCTTGTGTCTTATGATATAGATGCTTTATTGGAGGAACTGGAACGCTCCACCCTCCAGGACAGTGATGAATACTCCAGCCTGGCTCCTCTTCCCGTGGATCAGCATTCCAAAAAGGAGAGTGACCGTGCTGAGACCTCAGAGATCCTTTCTGTTCAGGATGGCACAAGTTCTTTGCCGGTAACTTTTCATCTATTGGAGTACTTTTAAAACAGACATTTGTGTGCATTTCTGAAAATGAATTATATCTCACATAAATGATATGAAAGGACAATCATATATCCAAGAAAGAGAACAATAACAACAAAAAATCCTTCAATGATAACTTTGAGAACTAATTTTTTTTTTCTAATGAGGGCATAGTAACAAAGTATTCCCTAATTTACTTGGAATATTCTGATATTACTTTCAATAAGGCCAGGTGGCAGCTCAGACAAGTCTTTTCAGAGTGACTTTTTAGGGTCACCACTTTCCAGGTCTTATTTTCTGCTAAGTATATTAAGAAATTCAGTTATTCGTATACCCAGAGATGATGAAGCTCTAGGAAATAGCCATGAACGAACTAAACTCATAAAAGAGGATGCATAAAAACACCAGAAATCCAATTTGTTAATTTCTAGTTAGAGTTAAAACCATCAGGTAGAATAGATGCTCATATTTGCTGATATATGTATTCCCTTCCTATGAAAAATACATGTACCTATGTTATAATTAGAAGGTTGTTTGATAAGAATGGAATTAGTCTAAGAGGAATTAAGTAGATGCTTTTCATATCTGATGTCTTTGGACTATGATATTCTGATCCTCCATTGTACACTAGTATATGAAATCACCAGCATCACAGACCTGAAAATCGAGCCCATGGGTAGGTTCCCCCTTTAACTGTTCTTATCTTTAGCTGAACAGATACCATTTTCAGGCTGTACATATAACTCCACACCAGTGAGTTACTGTCTTTGTTCTCACTGCTAGATTATAGCCATAAGCCCCAAATTGGTCTGCTATTCTGGCCCCCTTTAATTTTTTCTCAAAATAGCAGCCAGGGTGATCCTGTAAAATTTAGATAATGTTGTTTTTCTGCTCAGAAACCTGCAGTGAATTCTCATCTCATTTGGAGTAAAAGTCTTAGTCTTTACACTGGCCTTAATGGGGTGTCCATTTGTCTTGGTTCACATGGGACCAAGAGCCCTGGTTTTATGCTTGTCTTCTTGATATCCATTTATTGGCTTAACCTTTACCCCAGATTTTCCATTTTTTATAAAGTTTTCTTATTAGCATTTACATTAAAGTAAACCAGCATGGGTTAAAAGACCTCCATTAGTTTCTCCTGGCTTCTTTTACAGTCTCATCTAATAGCATACAAAACACACATGCAGTGAACAGTTCTTACTTCATTATGGCTAAGTCTAAAATGTGACTAAATTATATCTCGTCTCCTTTCCTGATCTTGTTCAGACAAAACCTAAGTGACAGCACCCTTTTAAGAGTAATATGCAAGGTTCTGGCTGTTAAAGCTAAGAGCTTAAGCACAGTAGTCAAGGCCAGCTAATTCCTTTGGTCTTGGGAGGTGGCAGGACAATTTATGAGGCTTTCCCCCCTGCTGGCCACTTGGTTTACCACCACTCATGCATGACCTGCTGTGTTCCCCGTGGTGGCCTGTGAGATGCCTCTATTCTCGAGTTAGAAGGAAAAATGGGAAATTGTGGCTTAATGTCATACAAATTCTGTTCAGGAGATAGAGGCTAAGCATTCTGGACATGAAGTGAGGTATAATCTAAATGTTTATATTTAAGCAGTTTTGTCATTACTTGTATGTGTAAAGTTATAACTTTGTTTTATTATTTGGTAATGCTTTTTAAAATTTTGCGATAAATGCTTTTAGCAGCATTTGGCTCAAACTAAAACCAAAACCAAAACTACATGTTTAATTATCTTAAGAAAGTTGATGACAAATATGTAATTTGCACAAAATACTTGTCAACATTTACTGTCCACCATGGAGGCAAGTAGAGATATCACTGTCTTTTTAAAAGCCAGAAAACACAGATATGGTGAAGAAGCATCAGCATCTATTTCAAAAGTTAATAATTTAAGAAGAATGACCCCAAAGATGATGACTGAACGTGTACAGCTGCAGGAGGTGTGTTTACATGTCATTGTAAGGCACACCTTTGCAAAACCGCCAAATGAGGTCAGATTTATATCTGTCAGCAGAGACCCCTGTTAGAGAATTTGTTATTTCCAAAATTGTTTAATTTTTTCATCCAATTCAAAGGGTCAAAATTAAACATCTGACATTGTTATATGCCATTTTTATACAATTGCATTT